GTTGACACAATCCCTTCCTGAAAATCACAATGATGCCACCCCCATGAGCTTCAGTATGGCTACCTGCAATGCTGTAGCTAACAGCATTCAACTTTACCTCCGTCAAACAGATATGTCTGAGTTTGAAACCCAGTGCTGCTTCTGCCGGGCTGTGTGTTCTAGGGGAAAACCTCGATCTCTTTACACTTCAATTTCTTCATCTATAAAATGAGAATAATAATGCTTACCTGCTAAGACGATTGAGAGATGTAACAGGATGATATATGTAAAGTAGTGACCATTGTGCCTGTTGTTAATCCCAGCAGCCCAGATCATGTCAGTTAGGCATTGTAATCTGATCTGCAATTCACTCCTCAAGAAGCTGGCTAAACCCACATCAGGATTAGTTTCCTTGTCTCCTGACCCAACTCTTCCTCTAATTTTCCTACCAACCTGCTGGCAAAGTGTTACTGTGTCTCAATAATGTATTCTAAGAAATGTTTTCTAAGAAAGTTGTAGTAGTCAGAATAAGGTAGGCTATGCTGCAGTAACAAATAATTCCCAAATTTTTAATAGCTTAAAAAACCAACAACTTATTTATATTATAATCTAATGATGATTGGGCAGATGCCTTACTATTAATAGCTCTCTTAGAAGTAAGGACTCAAAGATCCAGTCTCCTTCAGTTTCGTGATTGTCCTATCCTGAGCATAAGGCCTCTGAGATTGCAGCAAAAGGAGGAGAAAGTAGTCAATTGAGCAGTCTTACAAGTAACATTCATTGCTTTTCACCACACCCCATTGACCAGAACCTAGCCATGTGCTTAAGTCTAACTGTGAGGGAGATTGGGAAATATAGTCTTCTCACATACCCAAGAAAAGGAATACAAAATGGGATTTGGTGAACACAAGGCATTTTCTCTGCCCACATTACCTCCCTTCATAAAATAACCTCCATAGCCCCAGCATGCGAGGAGGGACAGCTGTGTCCCAGAAAGAAGCCTGAGCTTGGAGGAGAAGATAGAACCTCTTCCTGCAGCTTCAGCCCTGTGCGATTCTTTGATACTCAGCACTATAGCCTTGCTGACCCCAGAGAACATCATTCTCTCAAATGCGGACAAAAGATGCTTCCTTTTTCACTATGGCAGAGTTGAAGTTAAGATAAAATGTCTAACTACAGAAGATTTTACCAAAGACTAGGGGGTGACACATGAGGAATAAACAGAGAGCATGCTACAGCTTGCTAATTTGCATTTAAAAAAAAAAATGGAGTTTGTGACTCTTCAGCATAGGTCTTCCCCTGTGCTGCAGCCACGGGACAGAGGCCATCTGACTTCCTACTACCTAGGAATGCCCAAGCATGCCCTCTGTCCACAAAACGTAAGCATGGCATTCAAGGGGGAGCAAGTTAGAGAGAGAAGGGGAGGTTGCATGAGTATAGGAGGGAATCTATGCCTCCTCGATTCTTTGTGAGGAAAACAATTCTAACTCTTAGACTTTGATAGAGCTTTCCAATACATATGAAGTCAGCTACCTAAATTATGACTTGTAAGTCACATACCAGTTGCTATCCTAAGAATGCTGTGTCCTCTCTAAAATTCATGTTGAAACAGAATCCCCAATGCAGCAACATGAAAATAATGTGATTGGTGCCTTATAAAGAGCTGAGGGAACTAGGTAGGTCATTTTTAGCCCTTCTGCCATTTAGGGACACAACATTCATCCCCTCTGCAGGATGCAGAGTTCATGGTGCCATCTTGGAAGCGGAGCCCAGGCCCTCATCAGGCACTGACTGCTGGTGGTTTGATCCTGGACTCTCCAGCTTCCATATTTGTGAGCAATAAATGTATACTATATGTAAATTACCTAATCTAAAGTATTTTGTTATAGCAGCAGAAACAGACTAAGACACCGATTGACCTGTGGATTCTGTGGTGTGACCTACCACTCCTATGTCCTAGTACTCTGGGGCTCTAAACATGACAGGTATGTGGTGTGACTATGCCTTGAAGTCCAGAACCAAGAAAACAAATCCGAAGAGAGACAAGGGGTCCCTGCTTGAGTTTTCTGATTAAGGACCCACTTTTCTGGATGATGGAACATGGGAGTGATTGATATTGAAAATGATTTCCTGCTTCTAGGCAGGCCCCATCTCCCTCCCATGGGGGATGGTCTTCCTTTGATCTCAACAAGACAAGCATATCAGAAAACATCTTAATAATTCATTGGAGTGATGCATACATAATGTAACTGGTGTCAGCGGAGGAAGACAGTTTCCTTACAAGAACCTAAGCGGTTGCTCCATCCCCAGCTCCAAGCACTGCACGTGGCACAAAGCAGGTGCTAAGATTCTTGTTAAAAGGCTATTAAAGGAAAGCAACTCGTCCTGGTCATGTTTACTTAGTATCCTTCAAAAAAGCTCTTACTAAATTATTATGTACTATTAAGACGTTTATTGAGATAAGCACAAAATTGATATGTGAGCTTCCTTCAAGGCAAAAGAGAAACCAGCTGGATTATACAGTTTTCAAAAACTGGCAAAAAAGGAAGAAAGATTTTTCTTGAGCCCACATGCCTCCAAGATAATTCTAGGCATTTTATCCTGAAATATTTCATTGGATACCTTGTATTAATCATCTCATATTTCTGCACTGATCATTCATCTATTCCTATCTGTCTACCCATCCTATCTTGTGTATGGCTAATATATTCATTTTTAACCATCCTATTTTACTTGGCTTTTTATCATCCACTCTCTCAACCCCTCTTGGGGCCAGCGTGGAGTGGAGGAAAGAGCCATGGATTAGGGTGGGGTGGAGTTCAGATGATGAGTCAGACCTGTACTCCGCATGGCCAGGACATCTGCCTCACTATGCTGAGCTCATTCTCTTCATTTGTCAACTAGGGCTGACATCTCTTAGCTCACAATGTCGTCATGAGGAATAGAAGAAAATGTATGCAAACTGTGTAACCTGCTACACTATAGCCTCTCAATAAATTTAATTTCTTTCATCTTTCCTTCTGTCCCTTGTGAAAGTAATCAGGATATAAATTATATATAAATAAATTACATGTTATGCTGGAGATCCTCAGAAATGATTAATGTAACCAACAATAATTCTCATATTAATAATAGGTTACTCTGGCAGCACCATCCTAACTCTGACAATCAGTCTACATACTCCAGCTTTGTCATTCGGTAACGTACGATGCTCAAAGTTTACGCTAGGAAGAGGTGAATGCGCATGATTTCCCATTTTCAGATGTTTTTTAAATGCTGCTTTTTCACATCAGGGTATTCTGCTACAAATCATCACTCACAGTAAAAAGTGTAAGTAATATGCTTGCCAAGAAATGAAAGACTGAAACATGCATGATAGGGGAGGCTGAAAAGCTGCAAGCAGTACCTGAGACTCTAAGTAAGGTTTGGAAACATCCAGGAAATTCTGCTTTCTGTTCCTCAGTGCCCTAAAGAATAAATGGGACCTCACTGGAGAGTATGGCATGTCATCACTGTAGCGATGGTGATGACATCAGTCATCAGTTGGCTCCTACCCAGAGGAGCTAAGTGAAGCTAGGGGATTTGAAAGGTCAGAAATATCTAGACGGTTTTGAGCCTAACTTCAGCCAATGACCTGCTAAGTTTTCTCATAAGCTACCTTCAAAGTTGAGTTTGGAAAATAATTGCTTCAAAGAAGGCTTCAAGCTCTCAGATTCTGCCAGTTTATTATTCTGCTTTTCTCTAAGATGTAAATAGATGCAAAAGGAGTGGTTGTCTGCATGGGCTCCAGAGCCAGACTTCCTGGATTGGAATTTCTGCTCTTCCACCTGCTGTGTTACCCGGAAGAGGTGACTTAACTTGCATGTGCCTCAGTTTCCTCGGCCGGAAAAAGAGGATCATAATAAGGACAAAGTCGGGTGATGCTTACAAGGTCTGGGGCACTGTTGCTGGCATGCAGTAGGAGCTCAGTCAGTCATTTCTTTTTCCACAATTAAGTGGAGCTCATGACATGATTCAACCTGGACTAAATCTAGTAGCAGTTCACCAAAGCACCTTGTATATAGCCAGGTCTTATACTTCTTTATTGAATTGAAGTATTTATTCGTAGTGTGTGGTAAGAGCTGGTTCAACTTAGTTAAATCCCTAAATTTGAAATCCCAATCTCTCCCCACAATATCTGCACTTTGGCCCCACCTCTCCTGTCTCCATCTTGCAATGTAAGTACGCATGCGTTCTCCTTGCATCAAGCTGGGTGCAAGCACGGCTGTGCATGGGACGGGGCTCATGAACAAACTGGGATCATCACAGGGAAATAAAACAATGCTACTTCATTGCCACACCCAAGTGCACCCTGTGCACTTTGACTTTGACAGCTACCAATGATTGAGAGGACGGGGAAAGGAAGAGAGGAACTGACATTTTTGGTGCCTACTTAGCGCTAAGCATCTATCAGGAGATATTTTGTGTGGCCATTAGTTCTTAAACCTAAAGGCAAAGCAGTCCCCACCCCTAACAGCTACCAATGATTAGTGCCTACTACATCTTAGGACCTGGCACTGTAGCGTGCCATGAACCAAACCAGATCACACAGACCTCCCAGCTCTTCCAGGTCTAGGAGCTGAGTCCCGCTGCCTGCTCCACCCCCTCTGCCAGTGCAAACTGGCCTGGAGCCACGAGGGGGAGCCCTTGCCCAGGGAGCAAAGGGACCCGGCCAGCCCGCGATCAGCTGGGGCTGGGGAGAGCTTCCTGCATCCTATTACTCACAACAGCACACTGAAGGAAAGTTACGGATGACCTTTGATCTGTGCCCCTTTTAGCTGTAGGAATGGGCCCCCGGTCTGCGAGCACAGTCTACACAGCAGTGTTGATCCAACTAAGAGTGATGAAGCCCATGTGTCAGGGTGTGGTGACCATTTATTTAATTAATTGGCATATCATGGCCTAGAACAGAATAGAAAATACCAGCTTGATCACACCCAATAAGAGGGATTGTTGCTTTGAGAAGTTTTTATTTTAGCATGAATATGTGCTGAGCCATGATGTAAAAGGTACGTCTTACCACGAGTCATTAACAAAGTTTAGAGTACACGGACTGGAAAGCTTTTGTAAAACCCATGCTCCCAGGCTCCAGACCAGAGTATTGATGCAATGACGTATTTAGCCCCTGAAACCTGTATTTCTGGTAGATTCCCGGGCAGGTTTGGGAGTCACCTGTCGGAGGCAGTGGGCACTCGGGTGGGGTTTCCTCACTGCCCTCCACCTCCTTTCCCCTGGCCAGGACAGGAGCAGCTTTTTCCTTGAAGAACGTGGCCCTCACAAAGCAAGAAAAGTCACCCGTGCTGCACGGGAAGCAAGGCACAGCCACTAGCCCTGCGAGCCCCCAAACTGGGAACTGGGTTGGGATTTCCAGTGCCAGCTCTGTCAGAAAAATATAATCCCCAGAAAACAAAGTCACGTTACAGTCGGCAGATCTGGGTTCAAACCCCGATTCTCCCACCCGAGAACATGGGCAGGTGTTACCACCTCTCCGAGCCTCAGTTTTCTCGCCTTTTAAAATGGGAAGAATAGCACTTCCCAGGGCTGCTGTGGGAGTTGCAGGCAACAATGTATCAAGTGCCCAGACAGGCCTTGGCCAAAAGCAGACGCTCCTTTGCATTAGCTCCCTTTCAGCCTCCACTAAATGCCCCGTGAGCTTAGGCTCCTTTGGGCTTTGGCTTGCTGAGTGAGAAAGTGTTTGTGAAGTTAAGTAGCCTTCGCCAGGGGTGGAGTTGGCGGGGGCTGTTGCCAATGGAATTCCATTGTCCAGCTGCTCCTGCTGTGCTCACAGAAGCTGCACCATCCCCATTCCTTGACACTCCCCCAGGGCAGGCACAAAGTGAAATCCGGGACCAAGGGAAGAAAGCTCCCTCATTCCCCCCTTCCCAGGTGCTGGTCCTGGCCAAGCCTGGAGGATGCAGGCGGCCTGTTCCCAGCCCCAGGCGAGGGAGGAGCCACAGCCCAGGTGGGGCAGGTTGGGAGCCTGGACGCAGGTGTGTTCCGGGCGGCCAGGGGAAGTGATTGCTCCCCGGCCTGCAGAGGCAGAAGAAAGCAGAGGGCTGGCTCCAGGATCCAGCTCTGGGGCGCTGAGTTTGTCTCTCAGACTCTACCTTGGAAGAAAACAATGGAAGAGGTAAGGCACGTTGTCGGTGTGGCTGTGGACTTCCTGTGTCCTTTCTTGCCGGGTCAGCCGTCTCCCCCTGGAGAGCCGTGGGGAAAGGCTGCCTGTGGCTTCTCCCTCCTGGACAGGAATAAGTATGTCGGGTGTCAGTTGGCTCAGCTCACACTGGCCTTGCTCAGGGCAGGGGGGAGTGAAGAGGGGTGTGCTGGGGCCTGGCCACCTGGTACGTGAGGGACAAGAGGTGCCCAGTCACGATGGCATGAGAGGTCTCAGCTCTGACCAGCGAGCTGGGCTGCTGACCTGTTCCCAGATCTGCTGTCAAGTGCCTGTCAGCTCGCCTCTGTGTTTACTTGCCCCCGCGGACCGTGTCCAGCCTCGGCGGTGATGAGTGGTCAGAGGGCAGGGCTTGGCACCCGAGGACGGTGACGCTGTTTTGTGGTTTCAGATGGGGCTCTGCCCCTTACCGACTGCCCCGGGTGAGTGTATTCCCCTCCACAGCCCCAGCACCCTCACTTAGAAAATCACTACTGAAATCACTAGTTGGTGAGATTGTTGGAGGTCCTCGTCAAAATAGAGACGAGCGAGGGGAAGGACCCGCACCGGCCAGGCGGCATCCCCGGCCCTTCGGATGGCTGAGTGCTGTTGGCACGGTTGGGGACCTCTCGCCTGACCGACCACACCTTCCTTTTTCCTCCTCCAATTCCCCGGTCTTCTCTAGTCCCCTCTCCAATAAGTCAGTCGTGTGTGTGTGTGTGTGTGTGTGTGTGTGTGTGTCCCGAATATCGCCTTTATTATACATTTGGAGTCATTTTCTCCTGTGAATCCTGGGGCTTCCCACACAGATGTTTGGTTTCAGATCAGGACAGAGGACTCATTTCAGCTGTTGCCGGTTAGGAGCAGCTGCCCTTTGGCGCAGGGCACGTGTGTCTCTGTGGTAGACCACTTGGGCCCCAGTGGCTGAGTTTTGGAAAAGGGTGAGTTAGGGCCACACTGGTGCTGCCTCATCTCCCTCCTCTGAATTCTCCCCACTGCCCCCTGCACCGTACTGTTTAGCAACTTCTGAGAAACTACTCCTCCTCGCTGGAAAAGTGCCAGTTTGGATAGATTTAGTGTGCTCGTATGAAAAGGAGACTGAGGTGTTTGCTGTCTCTGATGGACCGGGCTCTGCGCTGGCGGTCATCATTCCAGTTTATCTACATGACGACACAGCAAGGTCAATGCCATTGTCCCGCTTTTTCATAGATGAGGAAATTTACGGTCAGCACGTTATCACTTGCTCAATACCACACAGCTGGCTGGCAGCAGAGCTGGGGCGTGAGCTTAGATTTGTCAATAACAACTACCATGTTTCCCCGAAAATAAGACAGGGTCTTATATTTATTTTTCCTCAAGAAGACACCCTAGGGCTTATTTTCAGGGGATGTGTTATTTTCCCCTCAAAGCCTCAGCTTGCAGCACACACAGGATGGCCGGTTCCTGACAGGGGGAGCCGACCTTGTTGGTGGGCTGCCCGCACCTTTCCGGTCACCTCCGTCACGATGGGGCAGATAAGAAGGGCTGCTAGTTGTCTTTACTGCTCTGCGACAAAATGCATGGGTTGTGCAGATACGCTGCATGGCCACGCCCATCACTAGGTCTTATTTTCGGGGTAAGGCTTATATTGCACAAATGCTTACAAATCCTGCTAGGGCTTATTTTATGGGTAGGTCTTATTTTCCGGGAAACCCGGTACTAAGCCAGGCATTGCTTTCAAGGATTACAACAGGACAACAGGTAGAATGTTAAGTTAATTAGAGAAAAATGTACAAAAGGGCATGTTTGTTACCTAATAACATTTTTATGGGGTAAGCTAATATGATTATACAACTTCTCAGAGAGAGGGACAAAAAGATCAAAAGAGAAATACAGGTGTTTTCTCATTTTAAAAGGAAGACTTTATCTTTTTAAAAAAATCAACAAAATATGGGTTTACTCAGTACATATTTACTGAGCACCTGCTTTGTGTGGTCAGGTCCTGTTTTAGACGCTGCAGATGCAGCACTGAACCAAACAGTCAAAAATTCCTGCCTTCATAAAACTAATATTCTAGTGAGAGAAGACAAATATGTACATTCAGGTCAAGTGGCAGTAAGTGCAACGTAGACACAAAAAGAAGGGAAGGGTTTAAGGATGGAAGGGCAGCAAGAGAGGCTGCTATTTTAAATGGGATAATTTCAAGCAAGGGTCAGTGTGAGGAGGCATTTCAGCAGACACTTGAAGGAGGTAAGGGAATTGGTCCTGTGAATATCTCAGGGAAGAACATTCTACAGAAAGATAATGGCAGGTGCAAAGGCCCTGAGGCAGAAGCTTATTTGGTGTGTTCAAGCAGTGGTGGAGCAGAGGAAGAGAAGGAGAGAGTGGTCAGAAGTGGTGGGGTCAGAGCATGGAGGGTCCTGGAGGCCATTGCAGAAGCTTGAGATGCTCCTGAGTGAGACAGAGGGCTACCTGCGTGTTGTGGGCGGTGCAGTGACACGATCCAGCTTACATTTTGAAAGGATCCTCTGGTGGCTGTTTTGGAAATAGATAATAGGGTCAGCAAGGGCAGAAGCTGGCTGACCAGGCAGGAGACTATTGCAGTAACCCAGGCGAGAGGGGCTGATGGCTCAGAGCAGTCTCAGCAGTGAAGGTGGCTAGAAGTGGTTAGATTCCAAATATACTACAGGCAGAGTCAACAGGATTTACTGATGGATTGGGCAAAATAATGTTAAAGAAGATGAAGATTGCACCTATGATTAAGAATAAAAAAAAGAAGATGATGAAGAATTGCCAAGGACTCCAAGGAGTGAAGCTGGAATACCTGGAAGAATGGAGTGAACATTTACTGAGATGAATTAATACAGAGCAGATTTGGAAGGATATCAGAAGTCAGTTTCAGATACAACGTGCTTGAGGGGCTGAGTTAGTAGTTAGAAATTCAAGTTTAGAGTTCAAGCCTCAGGCAGGAGGTATAATCTACATGTATCTCCATTATCTAGAGCAGTGCTGGGGGCATAGTAGGTGTTTAGCACAGGTTACTCGATAACTTTAAAACTTGGCCCTCCAGCCCCTGGCGTTCTTCCCATCAAGAAACACAGTCTTGGCAAGAGAAAACTGTAGCATTTTTGAGCTGACTAAGCTGGCCAGTCAGGAAGCTTAAAAAATGGTGCTTGAATTGTTGATGAATGAGCGTTGGGGCTGTATTGAACTATATTTAAGTTTTCCTTCGCCTATGATTAGTCAAGTGATTTGAGCAAATCATGAAATTATAAAATATAGGAGGTAGGAGATTTCTCAAATACCAACCAGTCTCACAACTCCCATTTTAAACAAAGACACGTGAGGCCCCAAGGCAGAAAATGTCAACACGCTTCATAACCACGTACCCAGCATGCCTCATTTATGGGGTATGCTCCACGCACATTCCTGTTTACTTGGAGGGTAAATTCAGGATTGGAAGATCCGCTCAGTAACCTACTGTCAGGCCTGGCCTTAGATGCCACTTAGTTCAGCTTGGCAGGGGAGAGTGTCAAGAAAACAGAGTTTTAGTACTAAATGAAAAGCAGGATGATGAAGAAAGGTGCAAGCTTTGACGGGAGCACCGAGCATGGGTGCCTGACCCGGGGTGGGGGGCTCATCCTGGGCTCATTGGAGGAAGTGGCATCTCAGCTGAGTGTCAGAGGAGGAGAAGCATTTTGTCAGGGATGGAGAGAAAGAAGGCAGAGGGGACAGCATGAACAAAGGAGCAGCGGAGAGCAACAGCGGGTCAGGGTTGGGAATACTCCTGCAGTTAGATGTGGCTGGAGCAGAAAATGAAAAATCCGAGTAGCCAGAATGGACTCTCAAGGAGTAAAGAGGGATGCGGTGTGTACTTTATCCTGTAAGCCAAGGGGGCCACTGAGGGCTTCACCTCTACAATGGGAGGTTGGACTAAACATTCCTGAAGTCTGTCATGCTTTGACATGCAGGAACAGTAGGACTTTCCCAAGGTCACACGTGGCTTATTTTTGAGAGAACCCAGGTCTAAACGCCTGTGCAACACGGCTTAGCAAGGCCTCAAGAGCAAATCCAGAGGGCGTTTCCTTCCTAATCCCACTGCTAAGGAATACGTCATAAGACAGGGTACCATCTACAGACACGGACCTGCCACTGAGAAGGACGCAGAGATGCACAGAGGGGTGAGACAGTGTGAGTGACACGGAGAACCCCATGTGAACATGAGGATAGGTAGCTGTAGGGGAGAGGCCTGGCACACATCCTGCCGAACCAGCCCTGCTGACCCTTGAACTTGGACTTTTGCCTCCAGAACTGTAAGGCAATAAATCTCTCTTGTTCAAGCCACACTTTCTGTTGTACTTGTTATGGCAGCCCTAGCAAACTAATAATCAAAAAATTAATTAAGTGAATTCATATGAATACTCAGTGCAGCACCCTTCCCCCATCAACCTGGGACGTGTTTTGTATCATGTTGCTATTTTAACATCTCCCAAAAACAACAGCTGTGCTTAGCAGAAATCTGAGAAGTGTTTATTACCACTCAGCATGAGAAATGGATGGAAATGATTTGGGACCACGGTCAGTATTCCTCTCTGACCGCTGGCTTCTTGGTTTTGGTTTTTCACATCTGTAAAATCTAAAATAACAAACTCCTGGGGAAATTTTAAAAGATTAATCAAAATAATGAAACATTTTGTCAGGACATATTAAATACAGAGAAACAACCATCACTCATCTTCTTAAATCTTCCCATGAGCTAGAAATTCTTCTTTGAGGTCAGGTATAAAATCTTTGCATGTCAGTATATTCAGATTGGCATTGAACACTCTCTGATTCAACCTATTATTTTATAAGATAGGTTATAGAAGATTGTGAAGACTTGCCCAGAGTCACATAGAATGTTACTGCCAGGGCCAAGATTGGTTCTTAAAGCTTTTCCTACCTTTCTAGTTGAGAGAACTAGACCAAAAGGTGGCATTTCATGTAAATGAAAAATATAA